CTAAGTGCCCCGCGTCGTTCTTGCTGGCGAGACCGTAGCGCGGGACATTCGGCATTATGATTACTATGTGGAAGAACAGCATTGTATCTAGTATAGTGTGATTATTCCTTGGGAAAATCCCACTCCTCACTGGGCAACTTATTTGCATATCATAATGAAGATGATTTTTATAAAAGCAAAGATGATTAGTTAGATCTATGATTTAACTGGACTTTCTGAGTTAGCCTAAAAGATGCAGGTGGTTAGGACAGGTAGTAAAGATGATTAGGGAAATGGTTTAGGCTAGCCATTCTGCCAATTGCTCCAATAAGAGATACAAAAAAGACAAGAGAAAAAATAGGCTAAAAGTTACTTTCCCCTTCCTTAGATATGAGATTTGCAGAGGATGGAAAATAAGAACAAGGAAGTTTCACGCATTATAGGCCCGTGAATTCTGCCTGTGGGAAAACAGGCTCATGATCAAAGAAAGCAGCTATGTCCCTACACCCAGGGTTAGGTCTGAGCTCCTCGGTCATGGAGCTTATGGAATTAATCACTGGCCCCGGTGTGCAACAGGAAGATACAAAGTTGGGAACAGAATTAAATGACCCTCCTGTGTGTAAAGGAAAATGGTGAAGGGGCCACTGGTTTAAAGTTTCTCTGGAGTAGAGTTAAGGACAGAAATCTGTCCCACTGAAACCTCGAACAGCTGTCTGCTAGTACAAAAGGAACTGGCTGGAATTGTTTGCTTTGTTTGCTTAAAACTTTGTTAATCAGTAATTTAAAAAAAAAAAGTCATTGCTTTGGAGAGAAGATGTTATGGTGGGAAAATTAACACAAATAAAAATGTTTAACTACTTGTGGGCTTCCAAGGAAACATGTGACTTGTGATCTTATTGTGATTTCATCTTATGTAAAGACTTTAATTTGGTTTTGGAAAATATGTAACTTGCGGTTATGAAGTAATCTTTCCTTGCATAGAAGTTTTTGTCTTGGGTGGTATAAAAGGGATAAGAGAAAAATAAAAGACATAGTAAAAGGTTAATATCGTGGATGATATAAGAGGAGAACAGCTGGGAAAAAGAACAGGTTAAAAGAACAGAGCAGAGAACAGGGTAGGAAGAGCAACAGGTAGGAAGAGATAAGAGAAAAATAAAATGAAGGATTAAGTGTTGGTCCTTAGATAAAGTGTGTCTCTGTGCATCTGTTCCAATAATTCACCTATCCACATCTCCTCTCCAGTCTCTCTGACCTGCTGAGAACCTGCTGGGGGCTGAGTGCCCTTGTGGCAGTGGCCAAGCAGTGATTGATCCAGTCTGCGGTCCATGCTGGGAAAGCTAGCCCACTCTTGACACTGCCTGGAATGCTAGGATCCAGAGGCTAGATTGCCCAGAGACCAGGAGAGAACCAAACACGACTGGAGAGGAGAAAAGTCAACATGATGATGCTTAATAATGTTCTGCTATACTTATAGAATGGTGGCTACCCCAGTTGTCATCAGACAGTCTTCATCCAGTAACTGGTGACAAAGACACAGAGACTCAGTCACAGTCACATTAGGTAGAGCTCAGGAAATCCTGCTGACAAGAGGGTGGAAGGATTGTAGGAGCCAGAGGGGTCATGGACAACACAAGAAAACTCACATAAACAGCTAGCCTTTGCTCATACAAGCTCACAGAGACTGAACCAACAACCAGGGAGCCTGCCTGGGACAGATCTAATATGTGCTGACAGTTGTGTAGCTTGGTCTACTTGTAGGACTCTTAACAGTGGGAGCAGAGGCTGTCCCTCTGCTCTGACTGGCTTTTGGGGACCTGGTCCTCATACTGAATTGCCCTGCCCAGTCTCAGCACAAAGGACGTGCTTAGTCTTACCACAACTTGATATGTCATGGGTGGCCTACCTGTTTCTAAACACAAGCAGAGAAGGAGTGAATTGGGTAGGGGAGGCAGCAAAAGGGACTAGAAGAGGAGGGAGGGAAAATTGGGGTAGGTACGTAAAATGAATAAATAAATAGATTTAATTAAAATACTCAAGAATTAAATAATGGTAATGATACAACATGTAAGGCCATTGCTTACACAGTTTAAAATGATGACATTTGTAAAATGTACATTAATCCACTTTTTGTTTCTACAACAAAATACTTGATCCCAGATAATGCATTTAAAAAGATGTCTATTTTGCTAAACAATATCTTAACTTTTGTTGCAACTCATACATATAATCCTAGTCCCTGGAAAGCTGACAGGGTAGCTACTTGGGAAGTTCAACGGACTGCTACACTACAGAATAAGTTCCTGTCTCAAAGTAAACTAGCAAACACACAATCAAGGAACCCACAAACAAAAATGTCAGCAACTTCCTTAGATGTCAATGTACTAAATATTTCTGTTAAAGGTAGATGAGCCTAGTGGCATGGGCCTATAGCTCTAACTATGGAGGCATCTGAGACAGGAGGATTGCAAGCTCAAAGCTTGCCTGGCCTAAAGAGTGAGTTCAAGACCAGCCAGAACAACTTAGTGAGAGAGTATCTGAAAAAAAGATAAGAAAAGTGAAAAGAGGAGTATGAAAATAGGTCTGGTAGATTGCTTACCTACCTGAGCACCTCCAAAGAAAGCAAGAACCCAGCAGGGACTCACTGCTTCCTTTGATATTCCTCCTGGGAAGTCACACAGCGGCACTGTTTCTATCACGGAGTCCCCCCCACACACACACTCAGGTCGACAGTGGTCAAGATGAACAAAACAGTGCTGGGCGAGGGGATTATAAAGCTCTAGGATGCCACAGCATATGCCACAGTGAGATATGGGCTGGTGTCCTTAAGCAGAAATACCCACAGAGCCCACGTAGAAGGTTGTTTCTAAGCCCGTGACTCCCCTATACTTTGGACTCTAAAATAGCTGTTCTGGGAGCAGCAGAGATTAATTTCAGCCACTATTTCCAACACTGAAAAGGTGGGAAACCATCATAAGCACCAGGTTTTAGTACCTCAAGCAGACTGGGGGCGGATGGGAGAAGGTGGTTGAGGAAAGACGGAAACACAGACCCACAGAATTTTCCTCGACACTTCCTGGGCTCTGTTACTTGTTGACCATAGTAACCTTGCAACAGGCCTCAGTATCTTATATTTGTAATAGAGACAGTTCTTAGCTGATCGCTGCTGAAGTGTTGCATGATAAAACATTTTGTTTGGTCCTACTCTTTAATAAAGGACTCTCTCAACAAAGGAGAAAAACGGAGCTTTATATGGGACAGGAGGATTCTGGGGCACAGGTACACTAAGGCATCCAAGAACCCTGGGTGGATGGGTAGGAAAAGTAATAAAACATCCCTTAGGGGGCTCATCCTCTCTCCTGGAACGAGCGGAACTGTCAGAGGGGCCTTTCCACAATGGTTGTGTGGGTCAGCTCTACCCTCTGCTGGCTGCATGGAAAATTGCAGCCAACTGGAGAGCTGTGCAAACAAGCGTTCAGAATGCGCCCTCTTCGTCAGGTTCCACGTTCACATCGGGCTGCTTTGACTCAGAAGGCCTGACAAGGTAGGCTATGGGGTGACTTCACTAAACCTTCTAGTGAATTTCTCTCCCACTTCGACTCTCCTAGTCTGAGAGGCAGAATCTTTGTTCTTGTGTGTTTCCCTTAGTCAGGGCCCTTCTCACTGCCTGCCCATCTCTGTTCCCCACAGAGTGCAGAGCGGTGCTGTCCATCTGGGGAAGCCTAATGGGAACCAAGGCACATTCCAGACTGCTTGTGAGGTACCGGATGCGAGACACTAGATAATAGTAGGTACTGGGTACTAGACACTAGATATTGAGTGCTAGGTACTCGATTATAGTAGGTACTAGGTACTAGAGACTAGATAGTAGTAGGTACTAGATAGGTCCTTTGTGCCTTCAACATCCATCTCCGACTCACCTTCCAGCAGGATCTGTCTTTTATTCCCGACATCACATGAAGGAACTGAGTCTCGGTATAGTTCTGTGTCTTTCCAGAGATGACACAGCCAGTGTGCTCAGAAGCCTGGTTCACACCTCATCTTGTGTGGCCCCAGAAGCTCTATTTAGGTTTTTCTAAAGACACCAGTTCAGGCTCTGTCTGTCCACAATACCCAAAGCCATGAGGCAAGCTCAGATCAGCCTTTCGATCTACAGGGTTGACCCGGCCCAGACCTCAGCCCTCCAGACTGCACACTATATCACCTAGAAGCTCTGGTCTTTTTCTTTGTCCATGGTGCACACAGCCCTGACATGTTTGACCTTAGTTCAGCCAGGCTCCTGGGCATAACAGCACCGATTTCACCAGTCTTGGCCCTGAGGTTGCAGACACCACAAACCCCATACAGGTTACCCTGAGGCCCTCAGGGTGTGCACCTGATGGCAGTGGTGGTGATGAGGCAGGTGTTGTGGCTCAGATGGTGCTGAGGGACACAAAAGACCTCTACATTTCTCTTTCCATGAAGGCTGAGCTCAGCCCCACTATGGCCAGTATCCGATGGCCATGCGGTAACAATCTTGCTGAAGCCAGACCAGCAACGCTCCCCTAGGCCCTCATTTCATGCACCTACATGCCACGAAGTCACCCTAATCCAATCATGATTGCATCAAATCAGGGAAAGCTACGAAGACCCTCTTTTGATCTCTTCACTAAGCCACACAAAAGCAGGAATTTAGAATGTTCTGACATTTTAAAGGTCTCTGGCTGAGCTGATCCCAGATAGTGGGTGGCATCATATTTAGGAGCACCCATATTAACAGACACCTAGCTAAAACTAACAATTTGCATATTCTAGAAATCATAATGTGGATAGTTAAGTGGCCACAAATTATTTAGTTTTATAATAGTGTTGGGATGCAATTTGAGGGAAAAGGATGCTTTCATTTTTAGCTAATTAAAACTAAAATACTATGGGAGGCAGGAACAGGTGGATCTCTGTGACTCTGAGGCCAGCCTTGTCTACAGAGTGAGTTCTAGGACTGGCTCCATAGCTACTGAGAAACCCTATTTTGAAAAAAAAAATTACATAGAACATCACACAGAGCAGAGATTAGGCACAGTAAGACCTTGCTAAACCTCAGATTATCAAACTAATAGTGGTATTTCTCAGTCTTGACTTCCAAAGACAACCCTCCTCCTGAGTCCCCTCCTTCTGGGCCTGTTGTCCCTTCCCAACCTCCTTTGCTTCTTCTATGGTGCTGCTTAGGTTTTCTGTCAACTTGACACAAACTAGATTCATCTGGGAAGGGGAAACATCAGTTGGGAAAATGACAGACAAGACAAGCAAGATAGACAAGCCTTTGGAGATGGTCTTGACTAATAATTGCCATGTGAGGTCTCAGCCCACTAGGAGCAGTGTCACTTCTGGACTGTCCTGGGTTGTATACCCTGACTTCCTTCCTCCATGGCTCCAGTTCCTTGCTCTGGGCTCCTGCTCTGACTTCCTCACTCAATATACCACAGCTGTAAGCTGAAATAAACCCTTTGTCACCCAGTTGCTTTTGGTCATGGTGTTTCATCACAGGGATAGAAAATATACATCCCTATTTTGCTACAAACTTGACTTTTGAGAATTCCATAGTTCAAAAAAGTATATTCTCCTTATTTTCTTTTTGCATGTGTGTGTGGTGTGCATGTGAATACGCCTGTCCTTATGTATGTGAGCACATGTGTGTAGGCATATGTGCACACACAAGTGGAGGCTGACTTTGGGAATCTTCCACAATCATTCTCCACCTTCTTTCTTAAGGCAAGATCTCTCAGTTGGACTCAGAGCTTGTTGGTACAGTCTAGTTTGCTCTGGGGGAATTCCCTGCCTCTACCTTCTAAGAACTGGAATTATAGGTGGGCTCTCATGCCCACCCAAAACTAAGCTGGATTCTGGGGCCCTGAACTCTACTCCTGATGTTTGCTGCTTGCACAGCAAGCACCTTAATTGTTGATCCAACTTCCTCACCTTTCTTTCTTCTTTTATTAAGAATGTCATACATGTATGTAAATGTACTTTTATCTAATCCACCCATTTCCCTCCCCTTCAATTTCACCCCTGTACCCACCCTATCTTCTCCCAACTTCATGTGCCAAAAAAAAAGAGAAAAACCACTGACTGCACAAAGTGTTGCCTGTATTTGCATAAGAATAGGATCATCTCCTGGAGCCTCTCGGGACTTGCATCTGTGAAGAAAACTGTCTCTTTCTTTCCTCAGCATCAACAATTGCCCATAGGTCCTCAGCAGGTGGTGGAACTTCATGAGGCCCCCTCCCACCCAGCCTGGAATTTTGAGCCCTTTGCTTCTTATGTTTAGTCATGGTTTTCCCTTTCCATTCGTAAACCTTCCTCCCACAAAAAAGCATTCCCAGGTGTTTGGGGGGGGGGGGTATTGATGCTCACAGAAATTCTTGCAGAATGTGTGCCTGTTTTCTGTGAGGTCTAGAGGCTGCTTGAGATACAGAATCAGTCACATACAAGACCTGAGACCACCTGTCGTTGGCTGTTGCCTCTCTCCTCTCCTCAACAGGCCTGGGTTTTAATTATCACCTGGCATCCAGGTGATGAGAATGAAGAGCAATATAGACCTGCCCTCAGCCTGCATGTAAGCTGACACCTTCCCAAAACTGACACCTTCCCCCAAACCTTCTCCTAGGAAACTGCAAAGGTCCCAGCCCCCACTTGCTTCAACACAACCGCAGGGTTTGATGGCCATCGCAAGGGGAATTACAAAGCACTTCTAGTAACTCAATCACAGTACAGGAGCTGGTCGGTGAGAAAGCACTGGTACACAGGGACTGGGGGAGATCATACGGGTTAAGGCTGGCGCAATCCTGAAAAAGGTACCCAGGGCTGGAGAGATGGCTCAGAGATTAAGAGTACTAACTGCTCTTCCAGAGGTCCTGAGTTCCATTCCCAGCAACCACATGGTGGCTCACAGCCATCTGGTGCCCTCTTCTGGCCAGCAAGCACACAGGCAGACAGAACACTGTATACATAATAAATAAATAAATCTTTAAAAAAAAAAAAAAAGAAGTACCCAGAATTTCTGAGGTTTGGGAAGCCAGTGCCTTGCACTGAAGCAACTCGGGTTTTGCAAACAAACAAACAAAAAAAACTCAAACAAACAAAAACAAGCATAGTGGGGCTGAGTTCAAAATCCTTGGCACTCATCTATAAAAGCTGTGTATGGTCATGTGCAAACCCATCATTCCAGCACAGTGGTGCTGGGGAATGAAGACAGAGAATCACTAGACTCACTAGGGCTTGCTGGCCTCCAGCCCAGCTCCAGGTTCGATGAGAGACTCTCAAGGGAATAAGGCAGAATCTGATGGCGCAAGACACCCAGTGTCCTCCCCAGACACACATGAACACACACACATATGCACTACAGGGACAGAAAACACAGAGTCGTTGCTCCTTGAGTTTTTATTCACCGTACTAGCAGGTAATAGTAACAAATATTGGCTTTGTTTCATATGAAATGTTGGAAGAAAAAAAGAGAGTCTCATGACTCTTAGGGTTGGGGGAAGTATACAATTCTGGATTTTTGTTTAGACATAGTTTAAGTTACAGGAACTCTGCCATCAGCACACCCATCCTACCCTCTGGTATGAGGAACTTGGCTTCAGTCAGCCAGAAAACCTATGGAGAGACCTAGGCTGCTTCTATGTCACACATGGCTCAGGGTTTTTTGGCCACTAGGACTTTCCCTTCTGCTAACCCTCAGCCTGGTGGAAAGGGTCTCTGTGGTCAAGTCAAGGCACAGAAGCAAGGCAGAACCAGCCTGAATCAGAACCAGCCAGAACCAGAACCTCCTAGCCAGAACCAGCAATGTGAACCAGGGCCCTTCCTGAATCCATGCCCCTAGAAGCTGGAAGGGGTCTGCTGTCGGGAGGTCCTGGCTAGGGACAGGTTGGATAGGTGGTGCCAATCATAATGGGACAGCATAGGAGCATGTGGCTTCCAGGACCCTGGTAGACAGATATGCCCTTCAAAGGCCACCTGGTTAAAGCAGGATCTTACGAGATCTTGGGTAAATTGTCCACTGCTTGGAGGCTGGCTCTGCACCTAAGTCATTCATTTCCCAAGCAGCAGTTAGACTCCATGCTCATGAGGGCCCAGGAAAGGAGAAAACCTGGGGGTGGGGGCGGGAGTCCCCTATCAGAGGCTGGTTGCCTGTGCTGGAACACACTGCTGCCTCTCCTCTATGGGGATGAAAACATACGAGGCTGTCTATGTTTAAACACCATGGCCAGGGCACTCACACACCTGTCTTTGAAAGATGGAAGCTAGGACCATGAAGCTTCTTAGTTCCAGACTACAGCCTGCTTGACGGGCTAAGATACCAAGTTTGCCCTTAGCTCTCTTCCAGAACAAATGAGATTTCCTGTAACACTTTCCAGGGCTTACCAAGAGCCACTGAGTTCATCTCCTAATTCCCAGGAAGGCCAGGCCTTAAATATTAGGCCCCACAGCCTCAAGCCAATCCACTTGGTCGTCACTCAAGCCAACATCTGGTTTGGGATGCAGATATAAGAGTGATAAAGTCAAAACTCCAACTCTATTTCGTGACACTGATACATGGCTGTGGAAACTAGTGAGAGCTCTGCAGACTCTCTGTGCCTCAGTTTCCTCATGTGTTAATGTGGATAAGAAGGATGCCACCTTATTGTGCTGTGATGGAGAACACACAGCTCAGTCCCTCAAACAGTGCAAATGCTCAAGGGACATTGACCATATTGCATGTGGCAATGTCTTGGAGGGGTCTGGAAAAAGCTCTGGCTCAGGAGCTCTGGTTGCAAATGTGAAGGGAAGCCAGAGGTATATGCAATATATTCATCTGGGCACATGCCCGGTTGGGAGGAAGAGATGGCCTAGTCAGGTTCAGACTATGGGAGGAGGTGAGGGAGCGACTTCATGCCTAACAGGGGTGACTTTTTCACAAAATCAACATTGCTGTTATCTGAGGGACAGACGGGGAACATTGACTATCCTTGCAAGGAGACCTAATAACCTCACACCAGAAAGCCGTCTGCCATGTCATTGGTGAGATGTTTGCAGATTGCAAGATAGGAGATTAGAAGAAGCTGGCTTTGCCCTCAGGGTGGGAGCAGGAAGGGAGAGGCTAAGGAGATCTGGGAGTCTCCTTAGAGGAAAGGAGAATATGAAACAAAGCCAAACCTCCCATCAGCTCTAAAACACAAGCTTCTTGGGGACCTCCCAGGGAAACTCGTTTCTCCCGAAATGGCCATAGCACGCAGTCTTCTGGTAGATGGGCTTTTTCAGGTCCAAGTCCCTGCAGTCAGAGGAGGTGAGGATCAGTTTTAAATGAGAAAGGATACACTACAGGGGTGTCCTAGGAGAGCTTCCCCCACACCTGCACCCTATCGATATCCCAGCCCTGTCCTGTTCAGGTTAGGAAGTGAAGGATCCAAGGTCAGAGACAGCTGAGGGTTCACCAGGATGTAAACGCCACCTGAGGTAACTTTCTGTAGTCTCTTGGCTTTGCCTAGGCCAGTGCTATCACAGCCAAGAACCAGAAAATAGAGATGCCATGAGAGCCCGGAGGAATGGATGTGCCTACTGGATCCCAGTCCTTTGGCCTGAGATGGCACAGCTGAGCAAAGATGGCCTCACCGGGGATTGTGTCTGTGGGGCCTCCTTCAGCTGAAAAGCAGGCAACCCATATTGGGGTCATGAACTGTGCTACGGGGCCACACACCGTGTGAAGGGGCCAGAACATGAGACCTTCCTGCTGGTTAAGAGGCTGCAAAGCTCCTTCTGTGCAGGTGTCCACACCTGGGTGTAGGCAGGGCGAGGGCCCATGCAACAGCAGCATGCTACCGCTTTTACCTGACAATGACACCGGGCCGGAGGTCGAAGTTCTTGTTCACCACCTCCAGCAGCTCCCGCTCGGTCTTCTGGGAGGTTCCGTAGGTGAAGATGGAAATGGACAGCGGTTCTGCCACACCGATGGCGTAGGACACCTTCCAGAAAGATCTGACTCAGGGACTCGGGTCGACGGAGAGATTTCACAGAGCAGAGCAGCAGGGATCACCCTTCCCCTGCTGCCAGGACCCCTGCCTCTCCTGTCTGGCAGCCCCTCTTTCCTCAGGGGTGCTCTCTACTTCCCTAGTTTGCCATGGCTCCAGCCATGGTGACCAGGGCAATATATGCAGAGTTGCAACCGATGTCAAAGAGGGGACTTTCCCGCTGAGCCAGGATCTCCCAACCCCAGGTGGGACTGGAGTCTTTGGCAAGAACAGGATGGGGGCAGCCTACCTGAACAAGTACTCTCCGGCAGAGCCCAGCCTTCACCAGGGACTTGGCCACCCAGCGGGCAGCGTAAGCTGCTGAGCGGTCCACTTTGGTATAGTCCTTTCCTGAGAAGGCACCGCCACCATGAGCACCCCAGCCTCCGTACGTGTCCACGATAATCTTGCGGCCTGTGACGCCTGCATCCCCCTGCAGAGGTCAACGAATGGAAAAAGAGATGAGAACCAGCTGCCCCGGATGCTGGAGGAAGCAGGAGGCCTTAGAAAGGATGTCCTGAGTCACCTGTGGGCATTCTCAAAGACCCTTTTTAATCAGGCAGAAACCATAGGCTCTTGTCCCAGTCCTGGCACTGACCAGCTATGAAAATCGGGCAACCTGCCAAAGCCTCATTGGAAAGTGCAGGAGGCGGGCCAGAGGTCATCTGAGGTCATGCCTTCACTTTTGAGTCCATCATAAGAAGCGGTCCACCTGTGGCAGAATTGTACCGCAGTAAGTACAACGTGGGGCTGCGGTTCGGGCCCGTGCCTCCTGCTGCTCACTTCACAAATGTGCTCTGGGCAGTGGCACTTCAGGAATACCTAGCAAGGGAGCTCAATTTAAGAAAGAGAATCCAGTAACTCTCATCCTATTTAGTGATCCACACGTCACACTTACCTACTTAGACTTTGAGACACCCATCAAGAAAACAAGGACTTTAACCTTCTTTCTGCCCAATACCAACACTGTTTGACCACAGAACCTGTGATGGGTGCGCAGCCTTGGCAGCACTATCAGCTCTGCCAATCCCAACCTCCCTAGTTCTGTGTGCATATAGGAGAAAGGGGCAACAGCTCTCTATCTGCTTTTATAAACTCCAGCTCTGCTGCCCTGCCTATGACAGCTAGGGACCCCAGAACAAATATTCAGCAAGCACTGCCCGGGAACGTCTGCCATGAGCAAGCATGAGTGAGTGCCTGACCGTGTACGGAGAGGTGGTGGCAGCTGTGGGCAAGCATGATAACATCTGGAACGGCTCGGTGGTAGGACTTGACAGCCCTAAGTGGAGACCGCTATAGACATGTTCCCCCTTTGTCATATTAACAGATATAGAGTATCTTCAATGTAGGCCAAAGATCACCGAGCAATTTCCTTGATTGGCAGACACTGCTAAGCCACTCAGAACGACTTCTTGTCATCAGTGTATTCTGAAAAACAAGCAGTTTCGTCACCAAGATCTAGCAACAGCGCCTTTCCCGGAGACAAGTACTCACCTGGGGACCTCCAATGACGAACCGCCCACTCGGCTGCAGGTGGTAGATAGTGTCTTCATCCAGGTACTTGGCTGGCACCACAGCTTTGATGACCTGCTCCTTCAGGGCCTCGCGCATGGCCTCCAGCGTTATGTCTTCATTGTGTTGCACAGAGATGACGATGGTGTGGATGCGCACGGGGATGACCGCGCCATTGTCCTGCATGTACTGAACTGTAACCTGCCCATCGGGGGAGATACTGTGAGACCCAGGCCTGAGCTAAGGCCACATGGTTGCCAAACACAGATCCCCCAGAGGCTGACTGAGCTCCTGAGGGACCAAGTGCATCCCCTTGTCCTTAGAGCCTCTTTGGAGAGCTTCTATGACACATGCACATATTTGTTAATTTGCTCAGTACCACAGATGACGGCATAATGCACACACGTGTGGCGCTGTCTTTCAACTAATGACCAGGCTCTTCTTCGATGCCAGACACTGCTAGTGCCAATGACTCTCTCTAGCCAAAACCCTCTTGCCAATTCCTCTGGACTGCCCCCACGCCTATGAGTGAACATGGGCATTCACGGGCCACCTGTGATTGGCAGAGACAAGAGTACTTTGATCCTAGAATGTGAAAGACCAAGAAGAATCTTTAACCAAGGCTATATTGTTTGGCATATTTGGAGCCTCTGAGACAGATAAGAGGAGTCTGGAAAGTGGTTCTCTATCCTCAGTGAAGGATCCTGGGAGTGCATTGGGACCAGCAAACTTTGTCATCTGTAGGGACAGGATGATAGAATCTCTAGTTAGGACAGTTAAGTCAGAAGGGCAACAAGCTCTGAATCCGCTTTGTCGTGGTGCTTCACCCGAAGAAGGTAAAGTGGTGTCCATGTGAGTGGGGATCAGGTTCCGGCTTACAGACTCCTGGCTGCTCAAGCCATGCAAACTCCTTAACCATTCACCTCCACCTTGTCCAGTCCTGTGCCCATCAGGTATATGGCCAAGTGAGGAGGTGTTATGACCCCCACTTTACAAATGAAATAAACTAAGAGATCATAACTTGCCTGACATCACATAGCCAGTTTGTGAAATGCCTAAGAGCCAAACCTTGCTCAGGCTGAACCAAAGCTCATCATTCCCATAGTAGCGTAGAGAAAATGCTACCTAGAGACCCAGTGGTCTAATGACACATCACTGGGCACAGACAACTGATATCTCAAGTGGCAGGGAAAAGCAGGTAGGATGCCCTGGGCTTGCAGCGTGAAGGGATGGGATAGGGGCAGCAAATGAGGGTCAAGAAAGCAGCAATGAAGGAATAAGCTTTGCATGCTGGAAGCCACATCAAAGATTGGTAGCCATTGTTGCCCCATTCCACATACAACAAAGCCTAGGTTCCAGATTTACAAACACCTTCATCAAGATGACACACAAGATTGTGGAGGTGTGACCCAGAGATTTATAGCCAAGGCTCTGACTAGCAGAAAGTTGCTACTTAAGTCCATGAACCATATCCTGGGCTACATGCTCCATGCTGCCTGAGACAGTATGTGCCCATCAGAGCAGTATCTACAGAGCTTGGGGGCATGAGATGCTTGCAGAAGTGTGCCTATACCAAATACCGAAGTAGGAGTCTGACTGACTGGCTAGCAGGCGTAAATAGTTTTCCACTACAGAGCCAAGTTCAGACCCTGCAGCAAGCATTGCCCTGTTGAGGTGTGCTGCATTGAGGTCTTATTATCATAAGGCACCCAAGGTGCCTTAGACAGCCATCCAAAGATATCTATCACTTTTGAGTCTTTTGGCTAAGATCAAGTATAGCCAATGAGATATATATATTATACTTCTGCTCTGTGTCCTGCTGGTCCAAAAAGCAACAGAGTGGGATCTAGAGGAAGGGAGAGAAAGAGCCCTGGCCACTTGCCTTCTGACCTTAGTAAGGTGGGTAAGTACACAATCATTGGAGACCAATGCTTAAATCCTGCACTGTCCACCCATGGGAATTACCCAGGCATAGGGCTAGAAGGAGCTAGAGTGTGGGATGCGGATTCCCAAAAAGACCCTGGCAAGCTCTAGGATCAAATTATCTCCTGTAGCCTTGGAGGAGGCTCAGTCTCGAGGCAATGCTCCAACCTGGCAGGTTCCAACTGAGCTCTAGTGTCTCCATCCCTCCTAGGCATATACCACACTGCATCCTTGCAGAATTCCTGGAACAGGGTGACAGAGTGAAGGGCCTGAGCTCTGCTCTTATCTTGCCGTGTCAGCAGATACGGGGAAAAATACACTATGGAAAACAAAGCTCTGACCTGGTACAAAAATAGCCTCTGGACTGCCAACCCTGGTTATCAGTATCAGCAGCAGCAATTTGTTCAGGTGGAAAGACTCATCCTGGCCACAGTCAACACAGGTGACAGTGGAAATCCTTCACAAAGGGACTGTAGAGGAGGAGACTAGCTACTTTCCTGACACAGCATGGAGGCAGACCAAGGAGGCCATGGGGCTAACAAGTGACCAGTTGACAAGCCCCACATAGGACCACCAGCAGGCATATATCCTCATTGACTAGAGTAGACTAATGGTCCCTCATGATAGGCATCAAGTACTAGCATCCTATGAGAACTCAATGCATCCTCTCCCTCTTTTCCTTGGTGCTCCTGAGCCTTGAGAAGCTCTTTCTTATTAAGAAGGGAAAGTGAACGAGGCCTTTTCTACCACACTTGCTCTCAAAGCATTCCCTCTGTTCCTCTCTTACCAGAGGGAAAGAACATTAGGGGGCTTGTTGCCTTCTTCCCACCCCTGCTCTGGAGTTGTCTTTTCTGTAGAGCCCTTTCTTTTTAAAAAATGATTTATTTAACTTTTATGTGCATTGGTGTGAAGGTGTTAGATCCCCTGGGACTGGACTCTCAGACAGCTGTGAGCTGCCATGTGGGTGCTGGGAATTGAATCCGGGTCCTCTGGAAGAGCAGTCAGTGTTCCTAACCGCTGAGCCATCTCTCCAGCCCCAAGCCCTTTCTTTTGGTACCACCACAGTCTACATGTTAGCTGTCCTGTCCCATAACCTCCAACAATACCTGAGAAATGTTGGTGACCCCATTTCCACTTTGAAAGTCATAAAAATAGCACATGAAGACCCAAGAAAATGTTCTGCTGGGGTCATAAGCACCCTCACTTGCTTTAGGTGGAACAATGTGAGATCTCTGCTCAGTGAGATGCCCACCTCACTGAGAAGGTTCTATCTGGTGGCTGGAGGAACTGGACACAGACAGACGTACCACAGTTGGTCATATAAAGCAATTACAAGTCCAGGAGTGGGGGAGACTACCTAGTGGTGGATCAGAAGTGGCAGTCACAAGGATATTGACTTTACTGTCCCCAGAAAAAGAACCCAAACAAGATGAAGGATAGAACAAAAGTCCTATAATCCAAGGACAGCCTGAGAGAAATGATGTCAGTTAAGTGGAAGTGCCAAGAAGGGGACAGGCAGAGGAAAGTTATGGCGGAAATATCATAAAGGTCTGAACACAGAATGACAAGTAGATTCTGCCCCCCTCTCACAGGAAGTAGGAACTCATGAGAATTCTGAAGAGATGGGATGGTTTAGAGGAAAACTTAACTGCAGTTCTCAAGCAGGGAGGACCTTTCCGGGGCAGAGAGTACTACTTCTGACTTGGGTGGAGTGGGAACCGCTCCAGGAGAAGCTGGCCGGCAGGGAGAGGGATGCTCATCTGAGAAAACGTGAGATGCCAATACCGTGGAGATGGAAGGCACCAAGCCGGACTGAAGAACGTGCCGTGCAGGTGTCAGCTGAGTCAAAAGTGACAGTGAGAAGCATGTAATGGGCTCTCAGCTCATGAGTTTGCAGAGTGAGTAAGAAAAGGGGCTGCTGATTCGGAGGGACCGTGGTAGAAGATGTATGAGCCCAGGGTGTGAAGAGATGGAGAAAACATGAGTGAAGATGTGCCAAGACCTTGGAGCGTCACACTTTGGAACACAGGAAAGGAGCCAGGGCAGGCAGCCATTGGCCAAAGGCCATCGGGAGACTGAAGAGCAATACGGGAGCTCCACATGGGTCGTGTTTGCATCACCACTGTCCTTCAAACAGAAGCGGGTTTCAACATGATGGGGACGTGGGAGGCCAGAGCCAACAGGGCTGGAACTGGACACATCAAGGGTAAACGAGAAATAAAGACAGGGAAGGTGACCTCAGAGAGACAATCTGCTCACGGGCAGGAGACCAGACCTGTGTGCACATAAAGGCAGGAACCACCATGTCTGAAGCTGGTGAAGAATAAGCCTGTGGCAGGAACTGGAGAATCACTAGAGTCTACACATGCTAACAAAACAACACAAAAAAATAGAATTATATTTCAAGCCTGCCTGAGTTTTTGTTTAGCCTGAAAGTTTTAAATGATAATTCTTTTCAAAATGGAGTGCTGGAATAGAATATTTTCATCTTAAAAACAGGACCGAGGTATAATCAATCGCATTCTAATTAGACTTGAGGCTCCCCCACGGGAGGAAATTCATACCTAGTACTGTAAACCTGGTCAAAAGCTGAGTAGAGCACAGGCCCTACTGAGCAACCTACTACTATTACTTTACTAAATACACATGATGTCAAGTTGCCTTCTAAATATTTAGGTTTATATTCTTAAACTGCTGCTGTATTAGCCTTGGTTGGAAAAGAACCTGTCTGCTATAGGTAGCAGCAATGCGAAGACTCATAACTGGTCAAAGCGCTAAGAATAAGTGATCATTAAATACCTATCCCTAAAGGGAATATACCTAGCTCACCCTTGGAAATGCAGGGAACTGGGCAATGGAAAGAATGCAAGAAGAGTCAGAAGATGGGAAGGAACTCTATGAAATGCTGATTTCTGGATCGTACATGGCATTGTACCCATGAATCCACAGCAGCTTGGGATATCTGCATGACATCAGCACAAGGCTGGGCCTACCAACATTTCATTATGGAAAGGAGTCAGGCTCATAACATCCCACTCTCCTTGAAGAGTTATAGGCAATAAATGGTAAAATACCTTTCTTCAAATAAGTAACCCCCTTACTCAAACTCATGTAATTAAAAGCAGTGGGTTATACACATCAATAAAGACACAACAGTGGGAAGGAGAACTTGTTAGAAAAATGAAGAGGCTTAATGGAAGTAGGAGAAAGAAGGGAGGATAACATGGCATAAAATCAAGCACAGAGAATGTGTGTGTGTGTGTGTGTGTGTGTGTGTGCGCGCGCGCGCATGCGCGCGCGCAGGCACGTATGTGTGTTGTATGCTGTAAAATCAATTAATTTAAAATAAAATAAATATGGCCAGAACCAAAATGACTTGTTGAACATGAAGCTCCTGTAGGGAGGCCTGCAGGAGGCGATGAATACAGCTCACCTGAGTTTTAGAATCAGGTCTCAGCCAAGGAAGGACCCCAGAGCGCCTTAGATCTGCCATCCGAGTGTTGAGTTTGTGGGCAAGAACAATGGTGAGGGGCATACATTCTTCTGTCTCATCTGTGGCGTAGCCAAACATCAGGCCCTGGAGTAGAATACCTGCCTTAGAGCTCAGAGCAGCAACATTTTCCAAATCTCATATTTTGTTTGGTGTTTCAACAGTTATGGGGGAACCCCTACAGAACACTTTGCTCTGGGCATTTTAGAAGGGGAAGGTATTGCCTCTGACCCCCAACACTCCGGAAGGAAGAGACAAGACTACATCTGTTATTAACAAGCAGAGCCTTCTACCACACAGCCTGCCAGGTTGCAAGCAATGCTTAGCTTACTGCAGGATCTCTAGAGTGATGAGACCACCCACAGTGTTATTAACCCATCCTGCTTCGTGTCATGGATCATAGCTCAGTCCAAACAAATCACAGGGTTCACCCCTCACACAGTCGACATACCTGATCTCCTGCACCCACATCCTCTTCATTTCTATCCAGATGGACACACTGGGCGATATCTGGGGACTGTTGCTCCAGGGCCACCAGCACATTGCAGGTCTTGAAGTCAAAGCCTGGGCAGAAGCAAGCCGAGTGGGGACATGTATCAAGACAGGACTTTGAGTTTCTTGGTGTGCTTTGAAATCACTGACGTGGCATTTCGTGTTAGGAGAGGGAGCCTCTTGTTCCCAGCTGAGACCCAGGATGTTGAAAGACATTATATTTTCTTCCATGGCCATATAGAACTCTTTCAAAAGAAAAGATTCCCCAGGACATATTTTACTGTATTCAATTATATCTTGGTTTAAAAAAAGTATACCCTACACAGAAATGTAACAACCCACAACAACAACACAAACCAGACAGCATGAAGGACACTCTGACAAGGAGGTGAGCAACTTAAAGCCTTGCTTCCCTGGGTGTCACAGAGGAACCCTCCATCCAGAATCCCATCTGAAAATCACAGCACCAGCAGGGCAAGGCGATGCCTGCTTGTAATCCCCAACACTTTTAAAGTGAAAACAGGAGGCTGTTCTTGGCTGCATTCAGAGTTTTAGGCCAGGCCAGCCTGTGCTACATTAAACCCTGTCTGATAAAAAGAAAATGAGGGGAAGAAAGGGAGGGAGGGAGGGAGGGAGGGAGGAAGGGAGGGAGGGAGGGAGAAATTACCATACACTTATTGAAGAGCAAGGGTCCTTCCAATGTTGTCATTTAGAAGTTAAACTATATGCCTTACCCATACATATATGTATATTTATTATATACACACACCCTGAATAATAAGCACCATGTTTGTGAACTATCTAGAGGATCTTCTAGATCTGGGATTCTATGACAAATAAGAGTTAAATGTCTGGGGCCCAGGCCCTCTCTTCAAAGTTGCAGCACAGAGTTGAGGGTCCCTCTCTGGCATTCTGGGTGCTAACTTAAGGGAGCCTCACTAACAGTAACCCCTGTCATGGAGCCAGAACTCCTTTAGACAACAAACTTAGAGCTAGCCTTAAGCATTATGTATTTTTCCACTTCCTCTAGGTATCTCTGGACAGAGTGTTCCTCTTCTGGCTCCACCCCACACACCCAAACTTGACTAGCTTCTAGTTAGTGTCTCTGGACATTTTACTTATGCAATTCTACTCCCTTATTGCATAAGATGAAAACAGATTCACGTAGAATACCTCACAGTGGGTCATCTGAGGACAAGCCGTCCCCCTACCCCAAGCATGTGGTCATCTTTGCTCTTTGCCTACCCTCCCCACTCCCCACCATCCCCCAGTGGATGTTTTTGGTGTAGAAATCAGTAAATAGTCTTTAGAGGTGACAAAGGTCTCTGATCTGTTTATTAAGACTTTTTCCATTTTGCCTAATCATCGAGTCTAAATAATATATCGTCCTAGTGTTAACCAAGTACAGTTCAGCCAGAGTTGGGCTGTTTCAGTTAGCCCTTTCTAAAGGACATGGAAATTTTCTTTGTTATCTAATGCAAGGTTTGGTCTTGAATAAATAAACTGTTTCTTAGGGTATAATGGGGAATGGCTATACATAGTAACATCTCAAGATGCTGTTCTCCAGGAGGATGTTTTCTCTATGAAGCCCTCACATCTTAAGTGAAAAAATTAACTTGCATGCACTCTTTCTCTTCTTGGCCATTCTAAAACACCCCCAACCCCCAAGAAGTAGGTTTTCTTATGATTGTTCAAGGTCAACACATCTCTCACGGTGACCTCTGGGAATTGAGAGAGGGTCAACAGAGACACAAAGGGAGTTTTTCCTTAAATAAATAAATCTGAAAAAAAATTAAGACTGGAATTACATGAGAATATACTGCTAGAGGCTATAGTGGAACCTTTACGAAGTCAGGTCAGAACCCTATGCAGGAAGCCCGTGTGGATAAAGGGCACTGGCAGCTCTAGAAGAACATGTTTGCAAGGAGGGCGCCCATGCCCTGAGTCTCCTGATGCACTCCCAGGCTTGGTGGTTTCCTGACCTGCGCGGGCATTGAGCAGTGGCATCTCCTGAGAAGCCCTCAGCTCTGCTTGCATTACCTGGTGCTTCCCGGTCCCCTCCCTTCCTCGCCTGGTCTGTACTTCTTCCTTGGGTGTCAGCTCCTACACCACCTAGAATGGGTGCTAACCTGAGCTGCCCTGTCTCCTTTACCTGTGATCAGGCCCAGGTGCTTGAAAATGAGGCCCCATTTCCTGCATCTACAGTGAGATGCGATGTAGCTCAGTAGACAGTATAGGAGCACTGACCTGGTGGCATCTCACTGTATTTATATTCTAAGCCGGGATACCCTCATGTCCATAAGAAACACACCAGGGGTTCTGGAATATTGAAGTCAGAAGACATAAGGAGACACTAGCACCTGTGCTTGGCATAGAGCATGCTGTCACTAGAGGGCAGCTGTCTTCATTAGAAGCTCCATTCAAAGCTGCCAACACCAGGAAGGCCGGACCATAAATGAGACCTGTCAGTAGTGGATGGGTCCATGCTGGCCCCACCAGCTACTGTCATGGCTGTTTGCCCTCCTAACGGAATTTATATTTCTATAAAACTGAAGTACCAGATTTGACTCCCTATGGGAGACGGACACCCTCAGTAGAGATCTACATGCACACAGAAGCAGCAAGCCTGTCCTCACCCTTGGCAGAGTCGTCATAACCGATGTACTTAATGGTGTCTCTCACCACCCGCTGGTAGTCAACCATGGCCACTGAGGTGATCTCCCCACACAGCAACACCATACCTGTCTTGCACACTGTCTCTGGAAGGGAAGGAAGGCAGGAAAGAGTCATGGGACAGCAGAGAGAAGCTCAAGGGTCTAGACCTCTCAAAATGGATATGAAAAGACTCATTGAAAAATTCACAAGGAGTACTTTCTAAGAAAGGATAATTGTGCCAACCAAAAGAGCAACTTCAGCACTAAACACTGAGTATCTTCAAGTAGTGCCAGAGAATAATTGGGAAGAATGACTTATATTTCAGTTTCATGCAAAGTATTTGCTGCTTATGCTATCTTGGACAACCTACTTAATCTATCTCAAATAGTGTAGCTTTCATAATGAGCATGATGAATGCATCTCTCTCTCTCTCTCTCTCTCTCTCTCTCTCTCTCTCTCACACACACACACACACACACACACACACACACACACACACACATGCATACAGACATACATGATGCCACAACTCTACTATAATGAGTGGGATCCTCATCCCAGGATCAAGACAAACCAACTTCCTCAAAGGGAATTTTTCTTTAAAAACTGGAATTGCATGAAATTGCATGAACATCTGAGGCTAGAGGCTCTCATGACATCTTTCATAACGGGAGTAAGAACCGTAGCTAAGAAGTCGGTGTAGATGAGCACATCCAGACAGTGTTAACATTTGTTTCAAAGCTATCAGTGCGAGATCTACTCTCAGAGTAGCATGGAGATCTGAGGTACATGACATGGGCTGAGATGCCTCTAGAGGAGGGAACACCGCCCAGACAGTGACAGTGGACTCTGATCTCCACATTGAGGCTCCTTGCCCCATAAGCTATTGCAAAGGTCCAGGTACAGCCAGCACTGTGGACCCATTAGTAAGATCAGAAGTCAGACCTGGGTCTTCCAAGCTCTGGAGTCAAGGGCTACCTTGTATGACAAGGCCTTCTATCAGGCATAAGTTGGAGAACTTATCCCACAAACAACAGTAAAGGTATTTTGCCTACATGGAGTTCCAAGAAACATTGGGGGGTAAGGGAGTAGACAAGGGCCTCAGTGGTTTATTCAACAGTAATAACCCTCTGGAAAGCTGCTGGTTTGGTTTGGAACAGTTGATGGAATTGCTGTTCCTAGACACTGGTAAATGAGATGCATAAATTATTTTAACATGTGAGGTATACCACAAGCGGAAAATAAGAGGAGGATCCAGACATGCAGAGCCATCAAAATGACTTTCTAGACAACCCCAGACATTTTGAGCTCTTTACTTCCTCTGGAAGACCCACCCAAGAACTTTGAAAGGCTCCCTTACTCCTAACGAAACCTGTGTTAGGAGGGTCACATTCCTACCCAGTCCTCTGGTAGTTATGGTAGTGATGACATCTAATGTCAAATCCTAGTAGAATCTGTCTCATGGTTAGAAATGCTTTTCCTCCCTGATACAACATAGGAAGGTCACTTGAAGAAGGAATCTCCTGCAGACAAGAGGACATTGACTTTGGACCTGATCATATGGTCTTAGGTCCATCATGAACTTCTCTGTCCAACATACTCAGGTCTTCAGCAAAAAGGGTACTTGTCTCTTACCACAGGCCACCTTGGCATTGGGGTCTTGCTTGAGATGGGCATCCAGCACTGCATCACTAATCTGGTCACAGATCTTATCTAAAAAGAAACAAATACTAAAGGTAAACGATTATATCACTGTTAAGCATGGCAAAGTTAAATGCTAAAAATAATTTGACATTTTTATCAGTCTGCCTATCAAATCTACCTATCAAAGATAAAAAGATATTTCCTTAAATACAAGAAATATTTCATCCGATGGGTCCTTGCAGATTTTGAAATCTTTACTTATTTTCTGACACTTTCATGTGTGTATATAATACATTTTGATCATACTCAATTCCCACTGCCCTGTCTTATGCCCTTCGAGTCCCTCTGAACCTTTTCTAAGGTTCTGCCTCTACTTTAGTGTTTTGCTTTGGTGACCCACTGAGTTTGGCTGTGGGTGTGGTGCTATTTACTGAAGCATGACAGACTTGCCAGTAGCTATAGCACAGGAAAAAAAAATGACCTTCCCTTCCTTAGCTGTCAATAACTGACAATATAACAGCTCCTTGGCTAGGTGTGAGACCTCATGCGGTACCAGAAACAAAAAATATTTTGAACTCTTAATTTCTTCTAATTCTCACTTCATATTGGATGATATGCATTAGAAAAAAATTATGGAATTCCTTAAAAGGAAAATACATTTCAAAGCCAGTTTATCTAAGAGTCTAAGCAATTCACAATCACGTTATAATAAAAAGTCTTTCAATCCCGAAACCTATTCCTTATTTCTAACATCTGGAAAAAATATAGATGCAGTCTAAAATCCTTCATAACATCAGTAAGATTGGGTAATAAATGATAAGGCCAGATAAATGACACACTGAAGGCTCCATAGATAAAATCAATCAGATACAAAACACAAAGCCAGGCAGATGGTGCCACCTGAGAGAACACCACAGGGGCACCCATCTGCACCACTGCTGTTCAACAGAACATTTCTATAAGCCCTCAGACCCTCCCTCTGGTCACTCAGCCTCCTCAAGTCAGATATCCTGATAGTGGAGCTAAGATTGGACTGACAAATAACACAGAAGGACCTGGGAACTGATGTTGTTCTGATGTTTGCCTTAAAGGATTCACATAGTCCAACATGGAGATCACCAAGTGACACTGTGCACAAACTCACTCCTGCTTTCCAGTTAGAGTGTGTCTACTAACAAATTAAGACATAAAAGAGACTTCTATTTAATGAATATTGTCTTTCACTCAATGTTCAAAATGCCCAGAGAATCTGCACTTTAAGAGTATTTTTGTAAAGATTTATTTTTAATTGTGTATGTACATATATGTAATCTGTGTGGGAGAATGTGCACGTGCAAGCACAGATGCCAGTGGGGTTGAGAAGAGGATGCTGGGTTCCTTGAAGCTGGATTGGATGCTGGGAACCACACCCTAGACTTCTGTAAAAGCAGGGAGTGCGTCTCTCCTGGTCCAACATATTAATTTTGAGAATTCAGATCCTGAGTCAAGAAATTTAACTCTCAAAATTAGATACTAAGATATTGATTAACTTGCCATTAAAGGTAAACTTTCTGATTTTTCCTTCAGAAACAACAAGGAAACACACAGTGGATTGTTCTAGCCATTCTGGCAGTGGCAAATGCTGGTTATAAATCCAAGCACATGTGAGTCCATAGCTCCTGCCACTCCTACCAGGAAAGGCCTCCTGACATACTAAAATAAATTACATGGTGGACAATGTTGACCTGTCTGGATGCCTAGAAGCAATTCATAGGTTGACTACAGGCAGACTTCCGACATCCCATTTATTTAAAGGACCCACCTCATGCAGGTACCACTATGTAGGGAATTATACCTCTAGGGACAAGTTAGAGTTCAGCAAGGTCAGCTAGATAACTGATTGATAATTCCTAAATCCCTGAGGGACCTACCTCTCTCTCCTCCCTCATCCTTCTATCTGGGAATTTTGAGACACATGAAGTTTGCCTTGAACTTGCTAACTAGCCAAGGATAATCTTCGTATCTTAACCCCCCTTTCTCCAGCTTCCAAGTGTTGGGATTACAGTTTAAACCTTCTTTCTCTTGCTGGGAGCGAATCCACTAAATCTAGAGTCTTTCACATGCCAGGTAAGCTCTATACCACTGAACCACGTCCATTCCTGGAAGATTCTTTCTTAGAAGTCTGCTCAGGCTTTCAAAGTCTCTGTCATCAGTAGGGTTAAGATAGCCGATGGTAGCTCTCTTGGAAGATGAAGAAGAAATGTGAAGTTCATCTTTCTGATTAGGGAGAATTCAACCATGGAATAGTAAACAGCATTAGAGAAAACCAATTTACTTGGACATTATGTGTATAGAAGAAAGTAAACGGCAGATGAAATAACTTGATAGTGAGGTCACTAAGAAGGGAAACAGTCAGTGCAATGGCGCATGTTTTCATGTTCTGTCCACTAAGTGCATTGCTGCTATGTCCAATGAGCCACACTTGAGATAAGTAGCCACTAGAAGCCAAAGAACTCATTTCCTCTGGGCATAGGAAGTTCTAACATAGAGATGACTTTCAGGAACTATAGAGCTGCCCAATATAGGTCAGGTACTAGGGATGTATCTAAAATCATACATACATCTGGAAATTGATCTACAAAGAAATATGATGAGAACAGTTATTTTCACCAAATGAAACCTCATACTAAATAATCTAACCCAGGGTTTTTCTTTTTTAATCTGTTTTATACTTTTTTATGTGTATTGGTGTTTTGCCTACATGTATAGCTATGTGAGGGTGCCTGATCCCCTAGAACTAGAGTTATAAACAGTTGTGAGCTGTCATGTGGGCACTGGGAACTGAACCCAGGTCCTCTGGAAGAGCAGCCAGTGCTCTTAACCTCTGAGCTATCTCTCCAGCCCCAACCCAAGATTTTTCAACAGCCACATTCTTGACATTTTGCACCAAATAATTGGTTGTGGGGGCTCTCTCATGGATTGTGCAATGTTTAGCTGCATGTCTGGCCTCAACCCAACAGACTTCAAGAGCATCTTGCCTCCAAGCCCTAGGATGTAACAATCAAAAATGTTCCTAGACATCACCAAATGCTTCCAAAAAAAGGCAGTCAGGATTGCCTTCAGTTGAGGGCCAGGGAATGAAGCACACAGGTGTAGTGTACTGAAAAGTCCAAAGCGAAGTTTCAAGTTAAATTTCTTGGAGAAAGAAGGAAGGTGGGAAAGTTAGACTCAGTGGCAAGTCAACACACACCATAAGCACTCAGAATAAATGTGAAGAAGAGTTTAAGTCTTCACATCAGTGTGCCTATCCCCGGAGTTCTCCCAGAACACTTGTTCTCAATGTGGTGTTGACATACAAGCAGAAGCAGCCCCTCCTAGAGCTGTTACATATTGGAATTCTTAAGGTTCTACAAAGACTACCAAACCGGACACTGTGGGAGTCAGTCCCAGTCCTTGCCTTCATCAAGCCTTGCAGGGTGATGCATCTGCATTCCACAGCTTAATCAGAGCTTCTGGCTCATGGTCCTGTTGCTGAGAATTCTCTTTAGCTTCCCTACCTCACAATCAACAAACAATGCTTGAATGTTCCTCTATAGCGGTGATTCTCAATTTTCCTAGTGCTACAACCCTTTAATACAGTTTCCCAGGTTGTAGCAACTCCCCCTGACACAACCATAAAATTATTTTCTTAGCCAGGCATAGTGGTGCATGCCTGTAATTCCAGCACTCAGGAGGTGAAGACAAGTGTATCTCTTTGAGCTTGAAGCCAGCCTGGTCTACAGAGCAAGTTGTGTTACAGAGAAAAACCAAGTCTTGAAAGTTCAAAAGAAAAAATTTGTTTGCTACTTCTTAACTATAATTTTGCTACTTTTGTGTTTTGCAATGTTAAGTATCCGTGTTTTCCCTTGATCTGCGGCAGCCCCTGTGAAAGAGTTGTTTGACTTGACCTACAGATTGAGAATCACTGATCTTTGGGAAGTTTATACTTGTATCAGAAAACATCTCTGAGAACCTTGTCATCTGGAGCTCTGGCTCAACCGTCATTAGAATTGAGAGCTGTTCCTTTCTAATCTGTGCACAATTTATGTGCAAAGCTTGTTCCTGCTTGAGGACCATTGACTTTAATAGGTCATTGGTAATAGTGAAATAGATGAAAGACTTACTCAAAAAACATATTATTTAATTCAGTTCCGTTAATACACATAGCATATAGCAACTAGTCCTTGTGGCTGAGATGCTGGGCAGTAGCATCATCGACCTAGGCGTCAAGATGAGTGACAGCCTCAGAAGTAGCTTACACTCTGGAGAGAGTCTCTACAGCAACTGATGAATCTAAGATATCTAGTAAAAGTGACTCCCTGAGCACAGGCTGGAGATGGCAGGCTTGCCTATGAGCTCAGGACAACGCACTTACCTGGATGCCCCTCTCCTACAGATTCTGATGTAAACATGAAGACTCCTTCTTCACTTAGAGAATGGTCACACAAGCCATCCACAGGTCCATTCATTGTGTCACACTTTTCGACTTCACTTTTCCAAGGTGACAACTTCCAAATGCTGTAACTTTGCCTGCAGTCTCTTTTTTTCTTTTTTCTTTTTTCCTCCCCCTACAAAACCAACAGGCTGGCCTTTGGCAGAGTCGCGGGAATGACTTCTGCCTAAGTACCTATGAGCAGGTGAGATCAGGGTAAGGATGGACAGAGGAGGAGAACGGATGAAGTACAGATGTGTCGCTCCCTTCGGCTGGCACAGTTTGCTCCCGGGTGACTCCTATATATGGAAAAGTGAAAGTTCCTGAATAATCATAAAAGGACCTTGGAGGAGTCCATTTCTCGGGAGGGGAGACTTCTTACCTTGAGGAATTTCAGCCTTCAGTTCTGATGTCTCAAACGTGAAGCTTGTGGTTCATGAGAAGCGAAGAAAAATGTATAGGTTCTCAGACCGGAAGCGCTGCTCTGACTTGCTTCGATTCCCTACCTGATCTCTGAATGGTTCCCAGGGTTAGGTCTGGAGTAACTCCCAGAGACTTCCAGGCAGTCAGAAACGCTCCCAGAGATGTGGTATGGGCTAGGGTTGCAACACTGTGCCCCTGTGCGTCCGTGCTGAGCGCGCCTCTCCTCCCCCGCACCTGATCTGATTGGGCTCACCCCCTCTACCTCCTCAGGGCAGAACAGGAGCCAAGAGCATGCACCTGTACTCTGAACCAGCTGTAGCGTTACACAACAGATTCATTTCGGTTAGAGGAAAAGCTTTGGAGCCCGCATTTTTCTGCCACCAGAAATCACCTAAACTGTCAATGTCTTTAAGACACCTGCAAACAAATTAACCAGCAAGGCGTTTGGGGGTGGGGGTGGGATGGGGTTGGCGGCGGGTGATCCGGGTAACAAAGATCTTTACTTATTAATAACGTAATTTTGAGAAACAAACACGGTAGTCAAGTTGGTATCCCCCAACATGATAAACTTCCATGTATTTAGTTCTGTTCCTCTCCCAAACATCCTGTTCCTATAACTTTCTCATTCTTTTTTATTTGCCCCCCCCCAAAAAAAAGCGGGAGCAGGATTGAGGATACCCTTAATTAGTTATGTCATAAACAATAGCGTCTGTCCCCAGCTTTTCTCCCCCTCTCAGACCTACAACCTTTGAAAAACGGGTAATGGAAATCACAGAGAATGGTGAGAAACCGGTTCCTATTAGAATGTACTAAAAAGTAACCAACCAAAACTTTGTGTGTACAAGTTGTACCTTGGGAAGCACAAGGTAGGGGGAAATGATTACCCCCCCCTGAAAAAAATAATCTTAGTGACTAAAACCTCCTCTGCACTTATACAGGTACTTAAAACTTTCTCCCCCCACCCCCTGGCACAAATTTTGGGATTCCCAACCTTGAGGCTAGTTAGTGAACACAGTTGCTCTACGGAATTAAAACTATATTAAATCAATATGGAAGGCTAGGAGACAACTTGTGTGTACACAGCTGTCAAAAACTCTTAACAAAGAGTGAGCTAAGTTGCCTAGGAACATGACTGCTAAAAGTTGGGACGGGAAGGGGTCACTGGGAAAGGACAGACAAACGAAGAATCAGATTGGGAAATTAGATCAAATGGCCATCTCATTGCCTGTGCAGAACTTTCCTGTTTGTACTTAAAATATTTCAACATCATTGTCTCTGTAAATTTCTTTTGGGTACATCAGCTTCAAGCCTAGACTCAGTACAAGCTAATGTTTAATTTGGACTGTAGACCTGGGTTACCCTAACAGCTAGAACTGTAACATTGATGTTACAATGTTACAAATTTGTTTCAGAGGGACTTGAAGTCGAAATCAAGAATTCATCAAAGTTCCTAAATTCAGCAAGAAGCTAACTCTTTTTTGAATTCCAAAATGAGTAGTAACATCATGGGGCAGAGGGTGCAGTTTGAAGATGTCCTTTATATAGAAGTAGAGCCATCAGAAGTGTGTGCGGGAGGATTCTGAAGCCTGAACAGCAGCTCAGAATGAGGGAAGATCTTGAAAGCAACTTATTCAGATGAGCTCATGTGTGAGCTGCGTACAACATGGCCCCTAAATACAAGAATGCCTCGTGTTCTTTCACAGAATAAATGATAAGAAATCACATCACAGAGTATGGCAGCTGGAAGTACAGGCTTCTCGGCTGGAGCCTCAGTTGTTTCTCTAACGTATTATAAAAGGAGCTTGTAAGCTTCTTTGGGGATCAACCAACACTATGCAGCCCAGCGCAGACCTCCAAATTTCTGTAGCAGGTAAAATAATTACCTGCTTTATAGAATTACTATAAAATTGAGATTAGACCACTTAGACATTATGAGTATTTAATATACTGCTAGAAAGCAATATGAAGTTATAAATATTAATAAACATAATTAAGCAAGCTATATATGTAAGCATAGTGTTCTTTTGAAGAAAAATAGAACATTGTATTTGTCTGTATGCTTATCCACATACATATATTAACATTTCACTCTTTTCCATATCATATGTTTAGTCCTTTTCATAGTCTATATACAGTAGATTTTTCTTTTAGCATCTGAATAGTACCACACAGTAGAAATTTACTGTATATTATTTGGCTGTTCATTACCTGGTGGTTAATTTTTTTGTTTCTTTTCAATTATATTAACATCGCAATAATGCTGTCACAAATAAATTCATTATAAGCATGTTTTTGTAAAATATAATATGAAAATAGGTGTGTGGCTGTTTACACCTATAAATTGAAGCATTCAGGAGTCTGAGGCAAGAGGATTGTGAGTTGGTGGCCAGTTTTGGATTCATAGCAAGACGATGTGTCCAAACAAAAACATACGCAGGCTTTAGCAATGCCAAATCAGCTGAAGATTTAACACCCATAGTAAATGTTATTAGTTAGATAAGATGAGCACCAATCTACCCAAGAACTAAAATAGTAGGTCTAGTCTACCCTCTCCAAAAGAACTAACAGATCCTAGCAGAGGTATAATTACTCTAAGAGACAACCCCACAAAGACTTTCTAGCTCTAAATTGCCAACTAAATGAAAATTGAATCCTCCTGTGCACAGGCTGTCTCGGTCTCCCTTACGTATGACTTGTCCTCATACCTCCCCAGCCCCACTGATAACCTAAGTTCAACATGTGAAAGGCTCAAATTTGACCTCATTTTCATGTAGCAACCTTCATCTCTGAAACGCAATTGACAAGTCCCTGAAGGAACTTGGTTTACAGTTCTCAAAGGAAAGTTTAGGAGTGTTTTATATATAAGATGAGGCTGTTCTCAAATAAATCACCTAATGATATGACTCAGGGTCTTAGGAAAACAGGAACAAGCCAAACTTAGATTTGGAGATGTAAATAAATCATAAAGACCAGGGTGGAAGTTAACGAAACAGAGATGAAAAAATAATACAAGTAGTCAATGAAATCACTAATTATTTGTAAAGTTACATAAGACAAACAGCCAAATAAATACAAGAAAAAGATATTCAAATTAATAAATTTTAAAACTAAAAGTGATGTTAAAACAGATCAATACACTGAATTCAAGAGGAGCGGCAGAGAATATTTTGAAAACTTATATTTCTAAAAAATCTAGAAAAAATGAACAAATTCCTAGATTCATAATCCCTAACTGTGATGGATAAGCTTGATTGTGAACTCACAATGGGATGTTGAGTGGTGATGGAAACTTCTGGATATGTCTCTGAGGAAGTTTCTTTACTGTGTTAATTGAGGTGGAGAATTTTTACCTTAAATGTGGATTACACTATTCAACATGCTGAAGTCTTGAACTGGATAAAAAATAGAAAATAAAAGTGAGTTTTATACCAGAATTCACTGATTTTTGCTTCATGCCTATGAATGTAATCTAATCAGCTGGCAAGCTCTTGCTGCCATGAAGCTCTTTCCTGCCATGCTGGATTATATTTTCTAAATGTGAGCCCATATAAACAATTCCTTCCTGAAGTTGTTCTTCCACGTGTTTTATCACAGAAACAATGACAGAAACTAATGGGAAAAAATCAGTATCAGGAGTGGGGTCATTGCTGTGATAAGTTCGGCTGTGTGGTTACAGGTCTTTGGAAAGTCTTTTCAAGTAGACAAGTTTGGAACATTAAGCTAGAAAAACTCTAGAATGTTACCAGCAGAGACTAGTAGGCCACTGTAGTGGGAGACTGAGAGACAAAAATACTAACAGATACAAGGACCCTGGAGTCTTAAGTCTTAGCTTATAAGGTTTTAGAGAGAGCAAGGAAGAGAGAGAGAGAGAGAGAGAGAGAGAGAGAGAGAGAGAGAGAGAGAGAGAGGAAGGACTCTACTGGGAACTGAACTGGAGGCTATTAATGTCATAGTCTGGGAAAGAATTTGGCTACATTCTACCTGAGTCCTAAGAACTTGAATAAGACTAAGATAAAAAAAATAATGATGGATTAGCATGTTTGGCATAGGAAATTTCAAGATAATATCATACTGACTATTTCATAATTACTGCTCACTGTGCTTATCCAGCTTTACAAGGACAGGTAGCAAAATGTGGAGGAGAAAGAAAAAAACAGCAGTTGAAGATAAGGCAAGTTTGGAAGCACCTATAATTGTTAAAGAGATTAGCACCATTAAAGAAATACCCAGTCCGCGGCATTGCTACAATAGGATAAGGGCTCCCAGACCATGCGGATGAAAAACTCCATGTTGCAAAAGCAAAAATTCATCTGAAAGGAGGGAGCCTAAACTGAGAACGTCATTGCAGGGGTTTCCCTTGTCAAAATCAACTGTCTAGGAAAGTGGTTTCCCAGAGTCAGAACACAGAGACTCGCAGAGGCTGCTGCAGCAGAAGTCCATGGAGGCCCCACTCCATACCGGGCTGGCAAAGGAACTTTAAAGCAATTGTCCACATAGTACCCCAAGCATGAAGACGTAAACTGAAGTGGTCCTGGATCTTGAAACATAATCTCAAAGAGATGCTGAGGCAAGGAAATGTGTGAAAGAGTTGGAATCTGGCAGTGAGACCCTGAGGAGTTACAGTGTGAAGCCTAAGTTACATTGATGATTCCAGGATGTTAGAGATATCAGAATCAAAGAACACACTGTGTAAGATTGCATGCATGGAGTGGTTCAAGAGAGGGGCTATGTGTACTGCAGGCAGCAAGGCTAGAAAAAAAAATGGCTACCCAAGCCCTTTGGAGCCCAGATGATTGTGTTATGAGCCCTAGATACTGAAGATGGAACAACATGATTTGCTGTTCACCATGCTGGGATTTTTTTTTTTTTTGCTTTTGTCTTATCTGTCTTAGATATGCCTCCCCTCTTCCGTTTTAGAATGGAGATATTTATTTACTCCGCACTATTGTATGTTGGAAGTATATAATTTACTTCTGGTTTGACTACTTGTGAGGAGTTCATAGTGAAGAAGTTGGCTGGATTTTAGAAAAAAAAAACTCTGCATGCAAAACTTATTAAACTTTTGAGCAGTGTTATAGCTACTAAAGACTGTGGGAACTTTACTTTGACTGAGTTCATTTTGTATTATGAGATGTCCATGCGCCTATGGGGACAAGGAGTAGAAGGTTATGGTCTAAAGTGATGTGTTTAGGTACAAAGTTGACTAGAAGTAGAGTTGTAATGGTTAATCTTAATTGACAACCTGATGAAATTTAGAATCATCATGGGAGCAAACGTCTGTGAATGCCTGTTGGGGCAGTTTCTGAGTTAGGTTAATTAGGATGCTAATTGGGTGGCACCATG